AAGTACTTTGTTCGTTGAATCCTTAAAGCGCTCCTTTCAGCTTCTAATTGGATAAATTTATGCAACGGAATCAGATAAAGTAGAGCATCTAGTGAAATACTCGGTGTGCTGTTCATTGCACCAGTTATTGAGAGAGTAGCTAGTCTTTCAAGTCTCTCCAGCTTCTTCTGAGCCGATTTTTCATTAGTTTTCGGCCACTAAACTAATGATGCGTAGGATATTCTGGGTCTTACAATCGTCAAATAAATCCAGTGGATCATTTCCTACCAAATGTTTTTTTACTTATCCAAAGAGCATTTATTGCCTTATTAACAACCTGCTCTATATGTGAATTCCAGTTAAGTTTACTGTCAAGAATGACTCCCAGATACTTGACTGTTCGTGAAAGTTCTAAAGAGGTTTCTTTCAATTTTAAGTTATTTATAGAAAATTTCCTTTTCCGTGTGAACGGTACAATAGTGGTCTTAGAAGGGTTTATATTCAACCCTTCTTTAGCGCACCACGACGAAACATAATTTAAAGCAGTTTGCATTCTATTTGAAATGATATTATCAAATTTTCCTCGTACTATTATGACTATGTCATCAGCAAAGCCAATTATCTCGAAGCCCTTTCCTTCTAAGTTTTTGAGAAATACATACTTTTGGTTGCATCGCCAACTTGCGGTGAATCCTAACCGAATACCCTACCCAACCCTCCAACTCCGTAGCACTTATGAGGGTGCCGCTAAGTCGGTGGCCTCTCGTTAAGTAAGTACTACATCAACATTTCCTTCCCTATCCCTACACTGAACCAATTTGACATATTCCTGTTATGTGGAAGTCTAATAAATTTGCGCTATAAGATAATCCATTGAAAATGATATGATTGAAAATGTGTCAGGTAAATTCTATATGAATATCTGATACACTTACAATGCTGATAATTTGGCAACTTTTATATGATCGTCATATGATAAATGAAAATCGGTCAAATTATAATAATTAACTGAAATGGATTTGAAACCCATAAGCATAAGCTTTACTTTTCACCACAATATAATATATGTGTCATAAATCAATCGAAGTAAAGTTTATGTGAAAATCATATGAAATTTATTTCTTCTTTTGACACATATATTTAATCAATTTCTAAAAATAGATCGAAAAATAAACATCAGGCAGTGGGGGGAGTTTTCACAGTTGTGTCTTTTTTAATGTAGCTGATTTGGGATTCGATCCAGAACTGTTGATGTGTGATGCTTTCGGTGTCTGCGTTCGATTCCATTGGGCCACGGCTGACTTCAATATTGAGCTCGTTGAATTAGCATGAAGTAAGAACAGCTCTCTCGACATGGAATGTAGTGCAACGCTATGCTCGTTTTGCTAGAGTGAAGAAAAATAACACTGACAAATTTATGCTCCATTTCAGTGGTATCGTGTATTCAAATCTTTCTTAATGCTCCTATGTGCAACAAAACAACGACTACATTATATGAGTTCATGGAACTGGTGCATGAAGTTTTAATACTAGTGCTGGAATCTGAATTAGCCGTGTAGAAGACTTACAATTTGAATATTAGCAAAATAAATATTGCAGTAGAATCATTTTTTTCAATCTCAATACATTCTTTTCCGGAACCCCTTATCTTATGAGGCAATAACAAACAAAGATTATTCAATACAGTATCATTGTTGTTAGCAATATTTAGTTCGACTAATAATTTTAATGAGAGTACGATAACATCGTTGAAAATTGTTTCAATAATTTATAAAGAACAATCATGTAAGATGTATTTTATTGGGAGCGATATTCATCCCAGAAAACCATGCTCAAACAAATGTTTGCTGTTGGATTTCTTAAAAGGCAAATCATATATTTAATGATTGGGATAGATCTGTTTACAATCTTTAAACCTCAGAAATCAAAGGAAGCTATTCCAATGAGATATACATATACTGCAAAGTTAAATGACAGTCCAATAGTTTCTACATGTCTGTTCACACGCAACATATCAACAAACGTCAAAAATTGTTAAAATCAACTCCAATAAAATATACATGATTATCTTATAAGTATATCTTTTAGTGAACAATATTCATCATGAAAACAGGTATATTTTACTGAATTTTCTGATAGTGCAAACTTATATGATTTTCCATTTGTTTCTAGATGTCTGTTCCCACCCATTACATATCACCAGTTTTTCACCATGAAATATATCAGTCAATATTCATATACATCTTACCTATCGCTAACCACGTTCGAAGCAAATTATTATCAAGTACTAAGTATGTGAAATTACGATAGAAATCATTCCATATCGCAGTCATAGATTTTAAGTGATAATCCAATGGAATCTATCAATCATCACATAGAATGAATAAATCGGCTGACATTGCTATGTTATAAGATGGATCCAATAAACGGTACATGTCGATTTGTTTCAGTGTAGTTATGGTAAAGATGGGCGTGGCCGGGAAAAGCGACAGCCATGCTTCTGTTACTCTTGTTTAGATTTGAACCAATGTTTACTCCCTAGCATTATTCCTGATAGTAGTCTAACTGAGAATTTCAGAAGAGACGTGAGTGTCGCTAGTATCAAATCTACGAAGTATATCATAACAACGCTAACGCTAACGCTAACGTACCCAGTTGCGGACGATATACAATCCCTTTTCAAGCCCTTTACTGCAACTGATCGCCCGGGACGGGACTTGACAATCCAGCTTCTCACTCTTCTTAATGTTTTTGAAGAATGCCCGTCGAAAATTAGTGCATGGTGTTTGACGGAGTTGACCAATGATGCCAGGATTGCAGAATGATTTTTCTATTTGAATTTGATTCGGAGTTTCTACCGCCGTTTAGCACCTTGTACATCATTTTTGCTTAACACAATAAAAACAACCATAAACAAACTAGAATATCCATTGCTTAAAGCACACCGTGGACCCTATTTTCCAACTTTACTTTCAAAAAATATAAACAATTAACAACGCCATTGACGTCAACATTGATTCCGGCATCACTGCCAGTCAGATTGATGTGATCCCTCTGTCCTTTTTATTCCACAATTGCCACTGTCAATTCTACCAATCAGCAACTGGCTCGGATTTGACAGAAAATTGGCTCGAAATCGCTACCCACTAGCCAATCTAGTCCCGTCCCAGCTGATCGCGAGTGCTAGATGACTGTTTGGTCTATACTCGCAGAATAGCCAATTAGAATATTTTTCGTCATCTTCATTTTTTTTGTTACTTCCTTGTAGCTATCACATGTGCGCACGCACAGTATAAAATCAGTAGGCAAAGGAAAATTTGTATCAGTTCTGCTTACGCACTCAAAGTGTACGGAGATGCCGGCGCTGGTGGTGTAGTGGTAAGCCTGACTGCTTTCTAACACCCCAATGGGTCTAGGTTCAATCCCAGCCGAGGTCGGTGGGATTTTTCTGAGGCATAAAAATCTCTGGTCAAGCCGTTGGTCCCGGCCCATGTATGTTGTGAATGAGTGCGATATCCTACGCAGGTGTGGAAGCTGCCTTCCTGCACATTCGGTTGCCGTCAATGGATGGCAATCGATGTCTGTCGGTGATTGGCACTAGATTGCGGAACAGAGACCGACGTTAAATAAAGGAAAAGAAGAAGAAGAAGAAGAAGTGTACGGAGTTCAACGACTATCGTTCATTAATTTGATCGAGGGAAAGCTGAATAGCAAAACAAATTCATTGAGAAAGTCAATATTCAGTGCAATGTCGCAATACGATTCTGCGCTGTACATGCGCAATCTTCATAAGCGATTGACATTGTTTTGTACCTATTCGTTCCGTACCCTCCAACTCCAACAACGCTTTCGATGGACATCAGGAAAAAAAACAACAAACGGTCCCTTTCAGGGCCACCATTTTAAAAACAACCGGCCCTTTTCAGGGCACCAATTCAAAAACGGGAAGAGTTAAGATAATAGATAATCGAACAATTAAAAGAACAAAATTTTCAACACATTTGTTCCGTTCACTAGGGGTCCTAGCTTCCGTTCGCCTAGCGCCAAGCTTCCGTTCGTGCCCCTAGGCACAGACCCTTCTATTTTTTTTTTAAAGATAATTTTAAATAGAACGAACTCGTTTTTTGCAGATGAGCAGTTTGGATTTCGCCATGGACTTTCAAATATACTCATCAACTCTTAAGAGTTACCAATTTAATTCGTTCAAACAAATCTGAAGGCTGTTCAATTGGAGTTGCTCTTCTAGACATAGAAAAAGCATTCAAATGTGTTTGGCATGAAGGTTTGATTGTTTAATGTTTAATCAACATAATTAATGTTCTACTCTATATTATGAAATTAGTTCAAAATTATTTAACTGACAGAATTCTGCAGGTAGATTATCAAATCTGAACGACTACCTGTTAGTACTGGAGTTCCTCAGGGTAGTACTCTTGGGCCTATACTGTATAGCAAGTTCACTTCGGATTTCTCTGATTTGCTTCAGGGTTGCAGGGGAAGAAGTCTTCGTGTTATTTTCAGCGGACTGCAGAAAAGTTCAGATATTTTCTATTTTCTTATTTACAAAAACGGAAGATTTCTCCCAACGTTGTTGCCCCCAGGGTACAGTACTACCGAGGTACATAGAATTTCGAATGTTGAGACTTCATAACAAATGTCCAACAAAATTATTAATAATTTCAGGCAAAAATCGTTGCAATCCTCACGGTTAATTCCCTTTATACTTAGATAAGATTTAGTTTTTGTTTTAAGTTTTAAGATTTCAATTGGTCATGCAGGTTTAAAAAAAAAACCTGTTTAAAATACTGAATTGCCAAGGCAGGAACAAACAACACTTAGATATATATCATAACAATTAAGGCTGGTAAGTTACTGTAGTAGCTGGAGCACCTAGGTTAAAATGAAATGTAATTTATTTTGAAATAGGAACAAATAAAGAGTTTAAAAAACACAACCCTGTGTCCCGTTACAATTTAAATGTGGATTTTATTGTTAAAAATATATTATTCTTCTTGTTTCAGATGCGGATGCTTTCGACATTATTTGTACTACATTTAGCAGCATGTTTAGGTAAAACAACAATTCAACATGTAGTTGAAAATAGTTCAAGTACACCTGCCAAACATCCGTAAGTATTTTGATGAGTTTATGGAATAACTCAGAACCTCCTAATGCCTTTTTCGCACTACAGTTTTTGTAAGTTATTATGATATTTATAAACAACAAAAATATAGTGGCGCCGGTGGTGTAGTGATAACCGTGATTGCCTCTCACCCCAAAAGGGTTCAATCCCAGTCGGTGCCGCCGAGATTTTCTGAGGCATAAAATCTCTGATCACGCCTTCCTTTGGGCTCAGCACAGGAAAATAAATTATTTGAGACATGCAGCTTACTTGTATTTGGTTGAATCATAGAGGTAACTCTACCCGAAAAAAAAATACAGTGAAATTTTCAGTGGAAACAATGCTCTAACATTAATATTTATTGTCGACAATAAAAATGATTGTTATAATGTTGTACTCTTCCGAAAACGGCAAAACTGCTACCTAGCTGTACAATGAATGTACATAATAAAATGTTGTTGCAATGTTTTTTATCGTATTTTTAATTTATTTTATTGTTAACATGATTCGATCATGAACAATAATGAACAACTCTATTACAATAAAAATTGTTGTTACATTAAATATTGGTGTATTTTCATTGTGGGTTACTTCACGAACAATAAAAATAAATCTGATTGAAGCATGCAGACTATGAGAGGGTCAGCAACACTGCCAATGTAATTAAGATAGGCGCTGCTCGTATGGCTCTGGCTTTGACAGTTCGTTTGGCTCAAAACCAGGCAGTCCGCGTCCGCTCATATCTTATCCTAGACCCTCTCTAAAGCTTAATGGAGACCTTTTCCGTGCAGTCAATAATCATACAATAATAATAAAAAATTCCACCACTTGAAGATGTCAGGAAAGAACTCTCAGGTGGAAGCATATTTCATGGGCGATTCTCTCCAGTCGAATGCATTAACTTTTCAACGACGCTCAACCACCAAGGAGACGTGACCTAGGGTTATCGAGCGCAGGGGAGTTGGCCTGCATTTCTCACAAGTTCCGGATTGAATCTCGATCCATAACCAGTAAAAAAAGGACCACCCGTAACAGACATACCACCCCCTTCCCTTCCCGGGGCAATGTTTTATTTTTTCGATTTATTTTTAAAGTCGATAAAGTAGATCTGTCAAGCCAACACATACACTCTGTTATTTTTTTTAATCAATAAATTCGCCAACCAACAGTAAAATAACAATAATATATAATGTTATTAAAAAAATATATATGGGAAAATCACGAAAATGTCATTGTTAAGATACTTAACAACCCCCCTTTTTTATTGTAAATTTTCCATTTACCATGAAATTTATTGTTTTGTACAACATAAATCAAGGTAAATTTATTGTAGACGTAACAATATAAATCATTGTTAAGACAATAATTTTCGTCTTATTGTTACATTGTTTTTCAATGTATTTTTGTTGTTATTTTTTTCGGGTAAGACCAGAAGTCCCGAAGAAACGAGCTCAACTTTTTGGCTCAGCTCTGGTACTATCTTCGGTCCCAAGCTAATCGATACACCTTTCGAAACACAGGAAAATCCACGAACTCCTAATTTTATCTGTCAAACTTTCATAGCGAATCAAAACAAATATAGTGTAGTACTGGAATTTCGACTAGAATGGGGTGCGTTAATCGATTTGCTTGTGACCAATAGGCTAATCAAGTAGTGAGCCAATTTAAAATCGTTAGTTTCGTATTGATTATTGGTTGAATTATGGGTATATTTTTGACCCACTAAAGGGTGTAAAAACACTTCGAAATTTCATCGTCTCATTTCCGTCACCGATTCATTTGGAATGCAAACAATTACCACAAACGAAGTGACAGACGGAGTGGCTCGAAAACTTTGGTGACGCATCTGCTATTGCAATTTTTCAGTGTACCACATGGCAACACCACTACTACTGGATTGTACCACATGGCAACACTACTAATGGATTGTACCACATGGCAACACTAAATGTACTAGAATGTTTTGGTTCTATCTCTTTCACTCTAAACTGAAATGCATAAAAAAATGACAAAATGATACAGTCTTTGCACACTGTCAAAGATCATATTGTACACAAAATCAACTATGTTCAAATCAAAACAAAAATACTAGCCTATCTGGTGGCTGATGGCACAAACTTCTAAGAAAAGTCTATTACAGCGAACCACATTATTTTAATTGATTTCTTCGCCAGTTAGTCGTCTGTCACTTCGCTTGTGCTGTCAAAGAATCATTGTACACTGATAAATTGAACTATTCCCATTTTGCCTGAAATTTAATCAATTTGACATTAAACTCAGTTTAATCATATTGAACGATTAAAAATTAATCCTCTCTTTCTAAAGAATAAGCATCTGATATTAATCCCAGTTTAATCCTCGGTTTAATCATGGTTCATTAGATTGTAGATTATCTTTTTTTGAATAAATTTTAATCATTTTAGATTCTATTTTAATAATTTTTGATTGAATTTTAATCTCTTTTGATTATATATCAGTATTAAAAAAGAATAAAATTTAATACTGGAAAGATTATTTCGATTTTAATCATGCATGACTATTGCCGAAATAATCATGGCTCGGACTCAATAAGGTGAAGCGGGAAACTGCATACTTTTTAAGCTTTTATGATTTAATTTATCTTTGAGTGTACCCAAAATCAACTTTGAGCAAAACCAAAACAAAAATACAATCCCATCTGGTTAATGATGGCACAAGCTTCTAAGAAAATTCTATTACAGCGAACCACATTATTTTAATTGATTTCTTCACCAGTTAGCCGTCTATCACTTCGTTTGTGACAAAAGTCTGTAAATATCTGTAAAAATACCAAAAAGTCTGTAAATGTCTGTAACAAAAAAATGTCTGTGAAAAAAATAAAAGTCTGTAAATTCACAGACATGTCTGTGGCATCTCTGATTGTACCAGACTTATTTCTGACAGATCAGTAATCAATTTTGACAAACACCTTCTCGAAAATAGGAAGATCAAAAACAGAGGGATTTTCAAACATCTGAATTTATTTTCGAAGTGTCAAATTTAAGTGAAAATTCACCAAGGCTGTGTGACAGATGGAAATTTTTTCAAATAAACCTTCTATTCCAGTCAGGCCAGTGACAAGGCCTATACCAACAGCAGCGTTTGACAGTAGGCAGCATGTCCCGGGCTCAAATCGTTTATTTTGCTGCGCTGGGCCCGCTATCACGGTATAACATGTTGCTTACACGCCTGCCACTGGGCCAGGCCAGTGACAAAGCCTATACCACCAGCAGCGTTTGACAGTAGGCAGCATGTCCCGGGCTCAAATCGTTTATTTTGCTGTGCTGGGCCCACTGTCACAGTATAACATGTTGCCTACGCGCTGGGTTGCACTGGGCTGATTCCAGCAGACTTATTTCTGACAGACAAGGAATCAATTTTGACAGACGCTTTCTCGAAAATCGACCGATCAACAACAGAGGGATTTTCGAACATCTTAATTCATTTTCGAAGTGTCAAATATAAGTGAAAATTTTCCAAATGGACCACAGCCCAAATGGAACACAGCCATAGCACAAACGAAGTGACAATCGACTAACTGGCGAAGAAATCAATTTAAATAATGTGGTTCGCTGCAATAGAATTTTCTTAAAATAAAATTTCGAAGTGTTTTTTCACCCATTAATGGGTAAAAAATATACCCATTATTCAACCGTGAACTGATTCTTTAAATGGGTATTTTTTCACCCATTTTATGATTTCAATATTCCCCCATTTTTTGACAGCTGCATACATGGTTTGAAAATGGGTATTTTTTACCCATTAATGGGTTTTCACGAAACAACGTGCACGGTAAAACGAAAGATTTACTGAACATTCAGTTTAAATCAGGTGAATAACCAAGAGATGAACTAGCCTATGGCTAAAAATCTCTATAATAAAGAAAAAAAAAAAAAAAAGGTGAATAACCGACGTTCTGCAAAACACAAACTGAACTTCGGTATCGTTTGATGCAAAATACTGAACACAGAATATTTATTTACTGAGAAAGTCGTTAATTTCCAAATTTTCGTGATTTCACGAAAAGTCAGCAAAAATAATTACTGTACCCAAAGTAGTCTTTATTTTTTTACCGACTGGTCAGCAAAATAGCCACCTTGTTTTACCGACCACGAATTGTAAAACTCTAAACTGTCCATTTTATTCCCGCCGCCATTTTAGCTTCAGTAAAATCCGGGAGCAAGTGTTTAATCGCGCGGTTTTGTTAAAACTTGAATTATATCATGACGGAACTGAGAAAGCTCGACAGCGAAATTGAAGTACTATTTCGTTAGTACCAACAATTATTATTTACTCTTTTTGCAGTTCCTTGATCTCCAACAAATTTTGATTAACGAAATGGATGTTTGCATTGTTTGCTTTCACTGTCGACGCGCTATTCCGGGGTACGTCAAGGGATTAAGTCGTCATATTAATTGGCATATTATAAACGGTGAATTGCACCAGGATTCATGCTTTTATGACTGCAAATTCACTATTTTTAATATAACTGGGTAACACGGTATAATAATGAACCAAATAACTGTCTTTTCAGTTAAATTGCAGCAAAATAAACAAAAAGAAACTACTGGGTTTTCCAGTATACGCAACTCGAACCAATTACTGAATGAACAGTTATTTTTGACAGATTGACTTTACGGACAGTTCGGTAATGCAAATTATTTCTGTGATGACTACTGGGCGATCCGCAATTCAAAAACTCAGTAAAATTTTAATGACTCCAGTAATCTAAAGTTATTGTGTATCATTTTGTCATTTCAGTGCTAACATTTGAAAACGGCACAAAAGCCATTTGTAAACAAATGGTTTGTGGGCCCTTTACTCACTACTTGAAGTACACCCACGCGACACAACAGCAACATCGGGTAGGGGAAATTTTCCCCTTCCTGACGATGCTGTTGGTTTGCGTGGGCGTTCTTCGGGTAGCGAGTAAAGGGCCCACAAACCATTAAATTTTGTTTACAAATGGCTTTTGCGCCGTTTTCAAA